GCCTAAATAAAATGTTTTTAATTGTGTGTACCAGTTTAACGTTGAATATTATTTATGATTTTATATCAGAGTATGTTTTAAAGTTACTCTATTGAAATGTACAACTGATGCTAAAGCTACGGTTTTGAACCCAGAAAGTGACAAAAAAGATGGTCGCTAAACCTAACAAAGCTCACTATTACTTCTGATCTAATAAAGATAGAAAGACCACCTAAAACTCTTTTCTAATATATTAAGCATCCCAAAATTCAACAGAAGCAAAATATAAGTGTAGGTTTGAACATTCAAGGACATCTATTAAAGGACAAAGTAATATTTTCAATATGGCTGCCAATAAGAATGGAAGATATTATAACCTTTCTTCTATAAGTTTGATCCAAGAGAAATAGAAACATGTAGAGGTAAGTTTTGAATTCATCTTACAAGGGTAAATATTGTTTCTCAATAACATTTTAGGGCATCTTCCAAGGGTTAAGGTTATTTCTTAATATATGTATACGTAACGCATATTTTACGTTACATGCTGTATGCATGAGTAAATTGAACAGTAATGTACCCAAGACCAATGTGGAGTAACAAAATATTCAGCACAGTGTAATAACATTCAGCAGTAGTTTTATGAGGACCCAAATAGTCTAGTAATCATCCCAATGTAGCAACATTGAGAGTAGATGACTCAAAACCCAAGTGAAGTAGTAGAATACTCAGCTCAGTGTAATAATATTTAACAGCAGTCGACCCAAGGCCCAGGAAGAGTAATAAAATATTTAGCATCTAGTAATAACATTCAAAAGTAGATGGATCAAGATCCATGCAAAGTAGTAGAACAGCCAGTACAGGGTACCAACATTCAAGAGTAGTTGACTCAAGACTCAAGTAGAGTAGTAAAGTATTCAGCGCAGTGTAACATCATTCCTGAATAGTTGAATCAAGACCTAAGTAGAGTAGCAGAGTAATGATTCAGTGTAACAGCATTCAAGAGTAGACGAATCAAGACCTAAGAAAAGTAAAGTAATTGTCTCCACTAGTATTCAACAAGGCTTAGACCAGAACATCTTACGGGTCAAACAATAACACAAAAAGGTCAAGGCCTGTTTATTTGAAGCTCACAAAGCTCCTGAGGTTGCCAATGCAGATAAATGGAGAGTTATCGTATTCAAAGGAGTCATGTGACCTGTACTTATTACACCAACAAGAGATGCTCTACAATAATATATCAAAAGAGCTCAATATCAAACCTTTGTTTGTCTGCAAGCTCCGAAGCTTTTTTTTACAGGAGGGAGAAGAAGAACTCAGATGAAGCCACTTCTACTATCCTTACCAAATCTGTCTGCATCTTTTCTACAACTCATTAGTTGTGGATGAACCACTAGGTCCTCATCTCAGAGATGCAAATGCAGAAGGTTTACACTGCCACTTCTGATGCTTGAAAGTTACGCAGTGGAGTGTATGAATACTAAATAAGAAGACATTAAAAGTCAGGTCGATCACAGATAAATATTCATGAGGGTAGATAAACCTTAATCCCTATGAGTTTATATAGGTTTTTGGCAGAAAAAGTAACATAAAATAATCCCAAACGATGGCTTTTAAGAGTTATCCTGTATAACTGTTTATGCTTCCAAGTTCTGTAAGATGTGAATTTAATCTCTTGAGGCTAACTGTTGGATGTAGACTGATTATCATAAGTTTATGTTCTGGTAACTTAATCGAAAATAATATGGAATATTATATTGATTCACATCTGAAAGGAGGAGGGCAACGAACCTTAAAGTATTAATCGAAGTAATTTTTTTTCTCTTGAATATTTTTTACCGAAACTTGATAAAACGAATATGGCCGCGAAACGTAACACATAATGTTATAACTTGATATACTTAACATAGAAAGATGATCCACGACTCTTATGACATTCTAAGTATCCAGAAATTCAAATAAAACGAAATGAAGAATAAAATTAAGCACTTGACCAAATGACTACCAAATACAAGGCAGGTTACCAACATCTTACTTAATCAAAGTATGTGATGATCTAAACTTATTTTAGAATATTTTAGTCATATCTAACTTTTCTCGGTCGTTTCTGGAAGACCATTTTTGTTTTGTTTATCTGACCTTAAAATAAGGTAATATGTACAGAAAACGCTGTAACTTCAGATCATTTAAGATACAAGTGTAACCTTAAACTATAATTAGATATTGTAAATATTTAAAAATCCATTATTTCTTTTGATAAATAGAATCTTCAGATTCACCA